AGAGGGAACAGTCATGATTAGAATCTGATCCTAGTCAGAGAGGGAGCAGTCTGGATTAGAACCTGATCCTAGTCAGAGAGGGAACAGTCTGGATTAGAACCTGATCCTAGTCAGAGAGGGAACAGCCTGGATCAGAACCTCATCCTAGTCAGAGAGGGAACAGCCTGGATCAGAACGTGATCCTAGTCAGAGAGGGAACACTCTGGATCAGAACCTGATCCTATTCAGAGAGGGAACAGCCTGGTTCGAAACGTGATCCTAGTCAGAGAGGGAACAGCCTGGATCAGACACCTGATCCTACTCAGAGAGGGAACAGTCTGGATCAGAACCTGATCCTAGTCAGAGAGCGAACAGCCTGGAACAGAACATGATCCTAGTCAGAGAGGGAACACTCTGGATCAGAACCTGATCCTAGTCAGAGAGGGAACAGCCTGGTTCGAAACGTGATCCTAGTCAGAGAGGGAACAGCCTGGATCAGACACCTGATCCTACTCAGAGAGGGAACAGTTTGGATCAGAACCTGATTCTATTCAGAGAGGGAACAGTCTGGATCAGAAACCTGATCCTAGTCAAAGAGGGAACAGTCTGGATCAGAACCTGATCCTAGTCAGAGAGGGACCCAGTCTGGATCAAAACCTGATCCTAGTCAGAGAGGGAACAGTCTGGATCAGAACCTCATCCTAGTCAGAGAGGGAACAGTCTGGATCAGAATGTAATCCCAGTCAGAGAGGGAACAGTCTGGATCAGAACCTCATCCTAGTCAGAGAGGGAACAGTCTGGATCAGAACGTAATCCCAGTCAGAGAGGGAACAGTCTGGATCAGAAACCTGATCCTAGTCAAAGAGGGAACAGTCTGGATCACAACCTCATCCTAGTCAGAGAGGGAACAGTCATGATTAGAATCTGATCCTAGTCAGAGAGGGAGCAGTCTGGATCAGAACCTGATCCTAGTCAGAGAGGGAACAGTCTGGATTAGAACCTGATCCTAGTCAGAGAGGGAACAGCCTGGATCAGAACCTCATCCTAGTCAGCGAGGGAACAGCCTGGATCAGAACGTGATCCTAGTCAGAGAGGGAACACTCTGGATCAGAACCTGATCCTATTCAGAGAGGGAACAGCCTGGTTCGAAACGTGATCCTAGTCAGAGAGGGAACAGCCTGGATCAGACACCTGATCCTACTCAGAGAGGGAACAGTCTGGATCAGAACCTGATCCTAGTCAGAGAGGGAACAGCCTGGAACAGAATGTGATCCTAGTCAGAGAGGGAACACTCTGGATCAGAACCTGATCCTAGTCAGAGAGGGAACAGCCTGGAACAGAACGTGATCCTAGTCAGAGAGGGAACACTCTGGATCAGAACCTGATCCTAGTCAGAGAGGGAACAGCCTGGATCAGCCACCTGATCCTACTCAGAGAGGGAACAGTTTGGATCAGAACCTGATTCTATTCAGAGAGGGAACAGTCTGGATCAGAAACCTGATCCTAGTCAAAAAGGGAGCAGTCTGGATCAGAACCTGATCCTAGTCAGAGGGGGACCCAGTCTGGATCAAAACCTGATCCTAGTCAGAGAGGGAACAGTCTGGATCAGAACCTGATCCTAGTCAGAGAGGGAACAGTCTGGATCAGAACGTGATCCTAGTCAGAGAGGGAACAGTCTGGATCAGAACCTCATCCTAGTCAGAGAGGGAACAGTCTGGATCAGAACGTAATCCCAGTCAGAGAGGGAACAGTCTGGATCAGAAACCTGATCTTAGTCAAAGAGGGAACAGTCTGGATCAGAACCTGATCCTAGTCAGAGAGGGAACAGTCTGGATTAGAACCTGATCCTAGTCAGAGAGGGAACAGCCTGGTCGAAACGTGATCCTAGTCAGAGAGGGAACAGCCTGGATCAGACACCTGATCCTACTCAGAGAGGGAACAGTCTGGATCAGACACCTGATCCTACTCAGAGAGGGAACAGTCTGGATCAGAACCTGATCCTAGTCAGAGAGGGAACACTCTGGATCAGAACCTGATCCTACTCAGAGAGGGAACAGCCTGGAACAGAACGTGATCCTAGTCAGAGAGGGAACACTCTGGATCAGAACCTGATCCTAGTCAGAGAGGGAACAGCCTGGATCAGACACCTGATCCTACTCAGAGAGGGAACAGTTTGGATCAGAACGTGATCCTAGTCAGAGAGGGAAAAGTCTGGATCAGAGCCTCATCCTAGTCAGAGAGGGAACAGTCTGGATCAGAACGTAATCCCAGTCAGAGAGGGAGAGGTCTGGATCAGAAACCTGATCCTAGTCAAAGAGGGAATAGTCTGGATCAGAACCTCATCCTATTCAGAGAGGGAACAGTCATGATTAGAACCTGATCGTAGTCAGAGAGGGAACAGTCGTGATCAGACCCTGATCCTAGTCAGAGAAGGAACAGTCGTGATCAGACCCTGATCGTAGTCAGAGAGGGAACAGTCTGGATCAGAACGTGATCCTAGTCAGAGAGGGAACAGTCTGGATCAGAACCTCATCCTAGTCAGAGAGGGAACAGTCATGATTAGAACCTGATCGTAGTCAGAGAGGTAACACTCTGGATCAGAACGTGATCCTAGTCAGAGAGGGAACAGTCATGATTAGAACCTGATCGTAGTCAGAGAGGGAACAGCTTGGATCAGAACGTGATCCTAGTCAGAGAGGGAGCAGCTTGGATCAGAACGTGATCCTAGTCAGAGAGGGAACAGTCTGGATCAGAAACCTGTTCCTAGTCAGAGAGGGAACAGTCATGATTAGAACCTGATCGTAGTCAGAGAGGGAACAGCTTGGATCAGAATGTGATCCTAGTCAGAGAGGGAACAGCCTGGTTCCAAACATGATCCTAGTCAGAGAGGGAACAGTCTGGTTCCAAACGTGATCCTAGTCAGAGAAGGAGCAGCTTGGATCAGAACGTGATCCTAGTCAGAGAGGGAACAGCCTGGTTCCAAACGTGATCCTAGTCAGAGAAGGAGCAGCTTGGATCAGAACGTGATCCTAGTCAGAGAGGGAGCAGCTTGGATCAGAACGTGATCCTAGTCAGAGAGGGAACAGTCTGGATCAGAAACCTGTTCCTAGTCAGAGAGGGAACAGTCATGATTAGAACCTGATCGTAGTCAGAGAGGGAACAGCTTGGATCAGAACGTGATCCTAGTCAGAGAGGGAACAGCCTGGTTCCAAACATGATCCTAGTCAGAGAGGGAACAGTCTGGTTCCAAACGTGATCCTAGTCAGAGAAGGAGCAGCTTGGATCAGAACGTGATCCTAGTCAGAGAGGGAACAGCCTGGTTCCAAACGTGATCCTAGTCAGAGAAGGAGCAGCTTGGATCAGAACGTGATCCTAGTCAGAGAGGGAACAGTCTGGATCAGAAACCTGATCCTAGTCAGAGAGGGAACAGTCATGATTAGAACCTGATCGTAGTCAGAGAGGGAACAGCTTGGATCAGAACGTGATCCTAGTCAGAGAGGGAACAGCCTGGTTCCAAACATGATCCTAGTCAGAGAGGGAACAGTCTGGATCAGAAACCTGATCCTGGTCAGAGAGGGAACAGTCTGGATCAGAACCTCATCCTAGTCAGAGAGGGAACAGTCTGGTTCAGAACGTAATCCTAGTCAGAGAGGGAACAGTCTGGATCAGAAACCTGATCCTAGTCAAAGAGGGAACAGTCTGGATCAGAACCTCATCCTAATCAGAGAGGGAACAGTCTGGATCAGAAACCTGATCCTGGTCAGAGAGGGAACAGTCTGGATCAGAACCTCATCCTAGTCAGAGAGGGAACAGTCTGGTTCAGAACGTAATCCTAGTCAGAGAGGGAACAGTCTGGATCAGAACCTCATCCTAATCAGAGAGGGAACAGTCTGGATCAGAAAGCTGATCCTAGTCAAAGAGGGAACAGTCTGGATCAGAACCTCATCCTAATCAGAGAGGGAACAGTCTGGATCAGAAACCTGATCCTAGTCAAAGAGAGAAAAGTCATGATTAGAACCTGATCGTAGTCAGAGAGGGAACAGTCTCGATTAGAACTTGATCCTAGTCAGAGGGAACAATCTGGATTAGAAATTGATCCTAGTCAGAGAGGGAACAGTCTGGATTAGAACCTGGTCCTAGTCAGAGGGGGAACAGTCTGGATTAGCAGTGGTCATCAGACTGCTAATCCAGACTCTGCATCGTTGTATAAATACATTTTTTTCACCACATGGCTGATTCTTTAGAATCCCTTTAAATAGAACTCAGCTCAGTGTTTCTACTGCATTTTGCAACATATCTATTTATTCATGTTAGCTCTGCTCCATACCTGAACCAGAACAGAACCAGACCAGAACCCGATTTAGAACCAGAACCAGATTTAGAACCAGAACCAGACAGCTGGAGTCCTGGTTCCTGCTGAGGTAAGATACTGCCCACTCATAAATACTCCAACAAACCTTTGCCTTCAAGTCTGAATGACCGGTTCATGAAGTTCATTCAGGACTCCAGAACTAGAAGCTGGTCTGACCCGGCTAAAGAAGAGCCGGTACTCTCAGTGTGAACCGTCAGTGACCCGTTGGGTCACACATCAGACACATGGATGCCGGTGCTGCATGAGGCTGCCTAAAATACGGTTCTCCAGCTGATCCGGTTCCCCAGCTGATCCGGTTCCCCAGCTGATCCAGTTCCCCAGCTTATCTAGTTCCCCAGCTGAGCCGGTTCCCCAGCTGATCCAGTTCCCCAGCTGATCCAGTTCCCCAGCTGATCCGGTTCCCCAGCTGATCCAGTTCCCCAGCTGATCCAGTTCCCCAGCTGATCCGGTTCCCCAGCTGATCCAGTTCCCCAGCTGATCCAGTTCCCCAGCAGAGCCGGTTCCCCAGCTGATCCAGTTCCCCATCTGATCCAGTTCCCCAGCAGAGCCGGTTCCCCAGCTGATCCGGTTCCCCAGCTGAGCCGGTTCCCCAGCTGATCCGGTTCCACCGGGACTGGAACGGACAGAAACATCCTGGGAGCATCCTTACCTGTGTTTCCAGTGAGACGGATGACAGCAGTCAGCAGGCTGACGAGTCTCTGCAGAGGTTCCCAGTCGGCATCAGAGAGGCGGGCGACTCAGAGCGTCCAGACGTCCCGCCGCCGTGGATCCCAGCATCCTGCTGCATCCTCAGCCTCCGTCTGCAAACAGCCGATCACCGCAGACGGATCAGGACCTGAAGGCAGATTCTCCTCCGCCGGTCTGCCGCTGCAGCAGCGTGTTGGTAGCCCCCCCCCCACCGTCCCTCCCCCTCCTCTCCTCTTCCTGCCCCCCCTCCTCTGATTCGCTCCTCTATCGCTCTATTTCTGTCCTCCTCTGATGCTCGGCCATCTTCCACCTCACTGCTCCTCTCCGGCTCTCAGCCCAGAGGATGTCAGACATGTGTTCAGGGTGGGGGCTGGGCAACGCTGACTTCATAGGAGGCACGGTTGTTCCTCACACGAGAGGTCAGGTCGCTCAGCACTGGGAATACTGGGAATACTGGGAATACTGGGAATACTGGGAATACTGGGCATACTGGGCTCAGCAGAGCTGTTTCTTTCTCAGCTGATGTGGAATCAGATGCATGAACAGATTCCTAGATGCTGATCAATCTGAGGGGGAGCAGCAGCCTCCATGTTCTGGCTGCTCCACTCTGCAGGGAAACCGGAACAGAACCGGAACCGACCCGTCTGGACCGATGTTCTGGACCGATGTTCTGGACCGATGTTCTGGACCGATGTTCTGGACCGAGGTTCTGGACCGATGTTCTGGAGCAGTTTCCTTTGTGCTGCAGCCAGATGAGCTGGAGCAGGCAGGGAGGGGGAGGATGGGGGAGTGTTTGGAGGGAAATAACAGACAAACAGTGAGGGGGGGGGTATTTATAGAAGGAGAAGCTGCTGTTCTGACATCAGGCTAATTCAGCCTGGATTCCTGGATTTAAGGAATGAATTGGGAACCAGAGCCACACCAGTAAAGCTGAGTCTCTCCATCATTTCCTGACAACTTTCACCTTCACTTAAAAATGTAACTAAATGTTTCTTGGTTTGTAAAAACGCTGCATGTGTTTGTTGCTCTGCAGAAAGCAGGATTCCTCTGAGCGCATGACCTAGATTAGGCCTGATGCTCCCAGGCAGCGCAGAGCGTCCCTGCTCTGAGGAGAGACAGGCACAGCGAGGCATGCAGGAAGCAGGAAACAAAGCTGGACGCACACACACACACACACACACCGCTGCGCTCTGCTCCTGCAATGGCAGCTCCATCCCATAACTCCCACTGCCTTCCACTGGTTTCCAACCCTCTCCATTCACGCTGACAATAACCTGACATTAACTGAAGCCCGACTGTCCTCACTTTTATACCAACGGTCCTCGCTTCAATGGCAAGACAGGAGCCCCCACACACACACACACAGCTTCCACCTCATTCTGCAAACTCAGAAAACATCCAACCCAGGATGGATGCAGCGTTAATTCAGCAGCTGATGCCTCATCCTGCGATCAGCAGATTAGCATCCGCAGTGCTGCAGATTAAAATCTCTAAAAATATCCCAGCGGACCTAAAACCGGACCCCTCCTCTAACGAGGTTCTAAATATAAAGGAAATACTTTCACTGCAGATCAACATGCTGCCATTTAAAACTGATTCTCATTGATAATTATATCCTTTCAATTTCATTTTAATCAAAATATTCTGATTTAAAGTAGGTTTTATCTTGGTTCATGTCAATCTTTCCTGATTTTAACATCATTTAATCCTTTTATAAGCTTAACTTTTATCTCCCTAGAACCTGGGTTGGCTTGACGGTGTGTTCAATTCACCTGGGAATTCACAGTGATCTAATCTCTGGGCTGATTGTATTCCAGAATTTAAAATATATATACATATATTTCTTTCTTTATCTTTTAGGTCATTTATTATTATGCGTAACCAGGGGCGGTTCTAGGACCATAGGGTTTAGGGGGCTTTGATTCAAATTAGGGCTGAATCAGCAAAACATCCAGATGTTAACGGGTGAATTCAGAGCCAAACATCCAGATGTTAACGGATGAATTCAGAGCCAAACATCCAGATGTTAACGGGTGAATTCAGAGCCAAACATCCAGATGTTAACGGGTGAATTCAGAGCCAAACATCCAGATGTTAACGGGTGAATTCAGAGCCAAACATCCAGATGTTAACGGGTGAATTCAGAGCCAAACATCCAGATGTTAACGGGTGAATTCAGAGCCAAACATCTAGATGTTAACGGGTGAATTCAGAGCAAAACATCCAGATGTTAACGGGTGAATTCAGAGCAAAACATCCAGATGTTAACGGGTGAATTCAGAGCAAAACCTCCAGATGTTAACGGGTGAATTCAGAGCCAAACATCCAGATGTTAACGGGTGAATTCAGAGCAAAACATCCAGATGTTAACGGGTGAATTCAGAGCCAAACATCCAGATGTTAACAGGTGAATTCAGAGCCAAACATCCAGATGTTAACGAGTGAATTCAGAGCCAAACATCCAGATGTTAACGGGTGAATTCAGAGCCAAACATCCAGATGTTAACGGGTGAATTCAGAGCCAAACATCTAGATGTTAACGGGTGAATTCAGAGCAAAACATCCAGATGTTAATGGGTGAATTCAGAGACAAACATCCAGATGTTAACGGATGAATTCAGAGCAAAACATCTAGATGTTAACGGGTGAATTCAGAGCCAAACATCCAGATGTTAACGGGTGATTTCAAAGCCAAACATCTAGATGTTAACGGATGAATTCAGAGCAAAACATCTAGATGTTAACGGGTGAATTCAGAGCCAAACATCCAGATGTTAACGGATGAATTCAGAGCAAAAAATCCAGATGTTAACGGGTGAATTCAGAGCCAAACATCCAGATGTTAACGGGTGAATTCAGAGCAAAACATCCAGATGTTAACGGGTGAATTCAGAGCAAAACATCTAGATGTTAACGGGTGAATTCAGAGCCAAACATCCAGATGTTAACGGGTGAATTCAGAGCAAAACATCCAGATGTTAACGGGTGAATTCAGAGCCAAACATCCAGATGTTAACGGGTGAATTCAGAGCAAAACATCCAGATGTTAACGGGTGAATTCAGAGCAAAACATCCAGATGTTAACGGGTGAATTCAGAGCAAAACATCTAGATGTTAACGGGTGAATTCAGAGCCAAACATCCAGATGTTAATGGGTGAATTCAGAGCCACACATCCAGATGTTAACGGGTGAATTCAGAGCCAAACATCCAGATGTTAATGGGTGAATTCAGAGCCAAACATCCAGATGTTAACGGGTGAATTCAGAGCCAAACATCCAGATATTAACGGATGAATTCAGAGCAAAACATCCAGATGTTAATGGGTGAATTCAGAGCCAAACATCCAGATGTTAACGGGTGAATTCAGAGCAAAACATCTAGATGTTAACGGGTGAATTCAGAGCCAAACATCCAGATGTTAACGGGTGAATTCAGAGCCAAACATCCAGATGTTAACGGGTGAATTCAGAGCCAAACATCCAGATGTTAACGGGTGAATTCAGAGCCAAACATCCAGATGTTAACGGGTGAATTCAGAGCAAAACATCTAGATGTTAACGGGTGAATTCAGAGCCAAACATCCAGATGTTAACGGGTGAATTCAGAGCCAAACATCCAGATGTTAACGGGTGAATTCAGAGCCAAACATCCAGATGTTAACGGGTGAATTCAGAGCCAAACATCCAGATGTTAACGGGTGAATTCAGAGCCAAACATCCTGATGTTAACGGGTGAATTCAGAGCCAAACATCCAGATGTTAACGGGTGAATTCAGAGCAAAACATCTAGATGTTAACGGGTGAATTCAGAGCCAAACATCCAGATGTTAACGGGTGAATTCAGAGCCAAACATCCAGATGTTAACGGGTGAATTCAGAGCCAAACATCCAGATGTTAACGGGTGAATTCAGAGCCAAACATCCAGATGTTAACGGGTGAATTCAGAGCAAAACATCCAGATGTTAACGGGTGAATTCAGAGCCAAACATCCAGATGTTAACGGGTGAATTCAGAGCAAAACATCCAGATGTTAACGGGTGAATTCAGAGCAAAACATCCAGATGTTAACGGGTGAATTCAGAGCAAAACATCTAGATGTGAACGGGTGAATTCAGAGCCAAACATCCAGATGTTAACGGGTGAATTCAGAGCCACACATCCAGATGTTAACGGGTGAATTCAGAGCCAAACATCCAGATGTTAACGGGTGAATTCAGAGCCAAACATCCAGATGTTAACGGGTGAATTCAGAGCCAAACATCCAGATATTAACGGATGAATTCAGAGCAAAACATCCAGATGTTAATGGGTGAATTCAGAGCCAAACATCCAGATGTTAACGGGTGAATTCAGAGCCAAACATCTAGATGTTAACGGGTGAATTCAGAGCCAAACATCCAGATGTTAACGGGTGAATTCAGAGCCAAACATCCAGATGTTAACGGGTGAATTCAGAGCCAAACATCCAGATGTTAACGGGTGAATTCAGAGCCAAACATCCAGATGTTAACGGGTGAATTCAGAGCAAAACATCTAGATGTTAACGGGTGAATTCAGAGCCAAACATCCAGATGTTAACGGGTGAATTCAGAGCCAAACATCCAGATGTTAACGGGTGAATTCAGAGCCAAACATCCAGATGTTAACGGGTGAATTCAGAGCCAAACATCCAGATGTTAACGGGTGAATTCAGAGCCAAACATCCTGATGTTAACGGGTGAATTCAGAGCCAAACATCCAGATGTTAACGGGTGAATTCAGAGCAAAACATCCAGATGTTAACGGGTGAATTCAGAGCCAAACATCCAGATGTTAACGGGTGAATTCAGAGCCAAACATCCAGATGTTAACGGGTGAATTCAGAGCCAAACATCCAGATGTTAACGGGTGAATTCAGAGCCAAACATCCAGATGTTAACGGGTGAATTCAGAGCCAAACATCCTGATGTTAACGGGTGAATTCAGAGCCAAACATCCAGATGTTAACGGGTGAATTCAGAGCAAAACATCTAGATGTTAACGGGTGAATTCAGAGCCAAACATCCAGATGTTAACGGGTGAATTCAGAGCCAAACATCCAGATGTTAACGGGTGAATTCAGAGCCAAACATCCAGATGTTAACGGGTGAATTCAGAGCCAAACATCCAGATGTTAACGGGTGAATTCAGAGCCAAACATCCAGATGTTAACGGGTGAATTCAGAGCCAAACATCCAGATGTTAACGGGTGAATTCAGAGCCAAACATCCAGATGTTAACGGGTGAATTCAGAGCCAAACATCCAGATGTTTAGATGGGACGGGTGGGCACAAGTAACTTGACAACAGCCAGATGCATGTCTCGCTCCGCCTAGCTCCACTCACATACATCTGGGAACCCGCCATAGGAATTGCCTTTACTGAAGGCTGGGCCTTATCAAAACTCCTTGCATATGATTGGATAAGCCACTTGTCTGTCATCTTTATTCAGGTGCTATTTCAACCACTCACACCGAAGCTAACCCGTGACGCTGTGAGAGGAGGAGCCATTTGGTAGATCAAGCTCTTGCCAAATCCGGTCGGGAGAAGGGCGAAAACATCGTTTCCACCAACAAAAGCCTTCAAAGCCGTTCTCTGATGTTCTTTTAATGAAACAATATCAGATAGATTGGACAACACAGAAGAAATAGCAGCATCAATGCTAATGCTTGCTTCCTCAATGCGAGCCGCCATTGTTGTTGGAATCTCACGGTCGCTTCTCCACTCCAGGACACACCCACCCTGCGTCCTGATTGGACAGACCATAAATTTGGTTGGGGAAATCACTTTCAATGAGCGGGTTCCCAGATGTATGTGAGTGGACCTGGGCGGAGCGAGACATGCATCTGGCTGTTTTCAGGTTAGGGCACAAGTGGGAGTAGGTGGGAACAGCTGGGAACAGGCGGGAACAAGAGGGATTAGTGGAAACAGGTGGGAGCAGGTGGGAACAGTGGGGACAGGTGGGCACAAGTGAGAGCAGGTGAGAACAGTGGGAGCGGGTGGTGTAACTGTCCAGGGGATAGTCAAGAGTTGAATATTCTGTCTATGGTCAGGATAGTTCTAAAATGTATGAATATTTCAGATGGGAACGAGAGGGAGCAGGTGGGAATGGGAGGAAGCAGGTGGGAACGGGAGGGAGCAGGTGGGAACAGGCGGGAACAAGAGGGATTAGTGGAAACAGGTGGGAGCAGGTGGGAACAGGAGGGAGCAGGTGGGAACGGGAGGGAGCAGGTGGGAACAGGCGGGAACAAGAGGGATTAGTGGAAACAGGTGGGAGCAGGTGGGAACAGGGGGAGTGGGTGGTGTAACTGTCCAGGGGATAGTCAAGAGTTGAATATTCTGTCTATGGTCAGGATAGTTCTAAAATGTATGAATATTTCAGGTGGGAACAGGTGGAAACAGGTGGGAACAGGTGGGAGCAGGTGGGAGCAGGTGGGAACAGGAGGGAGCAGGTGGGAACATGTGGGTACAGGTGGGAACAGGTGGAAACGGGAGGGAGCAGGTGGGAACAGGTGGAAACGGGAGGTAGCAGGTGGGAACAGGTGGAAACAGGTGGGAACAGGTGGAAACAGGTGGGAACAGGAGGGAGCAGGTGGGAATGGGAGGAAGCAGGTGGGAGCAGGTGGGAACAGGAGGGAGCAGGTGGGAACGGGAGGGAGCAGGTGGGAACAGGTGAGAGCAGGTGGGAACATGTGGGTACAGGTGGGAACAGGGGGGAGTGGGTGGTGTAACTGTCCAGGGGATAGTCAAGAGTTGAATATTCTGTCTATGGTCAGGATAGTTCTAAAATGTATGAATATTTCAGGTGGGAACAGGTGGAAACAGGTGGGAACAGGTGGGAGCAGGTGGGAGCAGGTGGGAACAGGAGGGAGCAGGTGGGAACATGTGGGTACAGGTGGGAACAGGTGGAAACGGGAGGGAGCAGGTGGGAACAGGTGGAAACGGGAGGTAGCAGGTGGGAACAGGTGGAAACAGGTGGGAACAGGTGGAAACAGGTGGGAACAGGAGGGAGCAGGTGGGAATGGGAGGAAGCAGGTGGGAGCAGGTGGGAACAGGAGGGAGCAGGTGGGAACGGGAGGGAGCAGGTGGGAACAGGTGAGAGCAGGTGGGAACATGTGGGTACAGGTGGGAACAGGGGGGAGTGGGTGGTGTAACTGTCCAGGGGATAGTCAAGAGTTGAATATTCTGTCTATGGTCAGGATAGTTCTAAAATTTATGAATATTTCAGGTGGGAACAGGTGGAAACAGGTGGGAACAGGTGGGAGCAGGTGGGAACGGGAGGGAGCAGGTGGGAACAGGAGGGAGCAGGTGGGAACGGGAGGGAGCAGGTGGGAACATGTGGGTACAGGTGGGAACAGGTGGAAACGGGAGGGAGCAGGTGGGAACAGGTGGAAACGGGAGGGAGCAGGTGGGAACAGGTGGAAACGGGAGGGAGCAGGTGGGAACAGGTGGAAACAGGTGGGAACAGGTGGAAACAGGTGGGAACAGGAGGGAGCAGGTGGGAATGGGAGGAAGCAGGTGGGAGCAGGTGGGAACAGGAGGGAGCAGGTGGGAACGGGAGGGAGCAGGTGGGAACAGGTGAGAGCAGGTGGGAACATGTGGGTACAGGTGGGAACAGGGGGGGGCGGGTGGTGTAACTGTCCAGGGGATAGTCAAGAGTTGAATATTCTGTCTATGGTCAGGATAGTTCTAAAATTTATGAATATTTCAGGTGGGAACAGGTGGAAACAGGTGGGAACAGGAGGGAGCAGGTGGGAACAGGTGGAAACAGGAGGCAGCAGGTGGGAACACGTGGGTACAGGTGGGAACCGGCTAGCACATATCAGCTAGTCTGACTGCAGCAGCTCCTCATCAGAAGCTTTGAGACGGGCTGGACTGGAGAAGGTTGTGTTTTACAGGAGGAACCTGAAGTAAGCACAGCTCATCCTGACAGCTGTGACCAAAAAAAATGTCTACAGGCTCCGCCCCCTTGTGAAGTGCTGACATGCAGGAATTGGGACAGTAGTGATAACTAATGCAGCTCTTCAATGTTCCTGCGGAGAAATTATCCAAAAACTGCAGAAAACAGGAATAATCTGAGAACCGCAGCCGTTTCCTCATCGCAGGAGCAGCAGCGCCTTTTATCCGTCTGATTTAAACAATAAACTTTTACAATTCAAACAGACCATAAAAGAGCTGGTTTAAGTGAGGAGAGGATAGAAAATACAAATTAGAAAGACAAGATTATCTGAGGGAGGAAATAAAAAAAACAAAGGCCTTTCAGGGGAAAATGGATTCTGATCTTTTATAGCAGTTTCCTGATCGTCCCCCCCCCCCCCCCCCCCCCCCCCCCCATGGATAAAGAAAGTGGAGCAGGTTCCAGAGTGACACCCACCTGTAGTCAAACAGAAGACTTTAACTTTGGCGGGATGATTTCTACAAACCACTTCCTGTCCTTCCTTAAAAGTCGTGTCTCCCAGGCGGCGTCCGTCTCCTCTGATGGCGTCCGTCTCCTCTGATGGCGTCCGTCTCCTCTGATGGCGTCCGTCTCCTCTGATGGCGTCGCTCCAGCCGTCTGTAATTATACGCTAGCAGCAGTTTCCTGCTTAAATCTGAGGAACTGAACGATCGTTTCAACCAGAATGAGCTTCGATTCAGCGTCAGCAGACGGCGCCATGCGGCGCATTAAGCTAGGTCACCGTCACTCCGCAGACGGGCTAAAGACCGTTAGAAAATACCTGGAATAAAAACCGGAATACAGAGCGAGGTTTGATAGGAAACCAGGCATCGTTAGTTTAAGCTTATTATGGAACCTTTTATATTCTATTACGTTTATTTCTATAGCTCCAATTCACATCATGTCATCTCAGGTCACTTTATAGAGATAGATCAACCAGATCATCTGGTCAGATTGATTCTATCTGATATTAACCAGACGTTAATCAGGAAACTTTACTCAGTGTTTTAATAAAGTTTTATTAGTTTTAGGTCAAACTTTCCTTTGGAGCGAAGCAGAACCAACATGTTCCTCTTGATCTTTTCTATATTTCTGTTATAATCAGATTTTTTTTCCCAACATTCAGGAAAGTTCTGGACTGAAGTCCGATCTGGATCCGTCTGACGGGAGGTTCTTCCCCCCAGGAGGGAAACTAAGCTTCACATTCGGATCTTTTGCTGCTCCTTCCAGAATTCCCCGACCCCCTCGGAAAGAGCCAGCTCTGCTAAGGCTCTGCACTCCCGCGGCGTAAACCCCACCAGGGCGGTGCCCTTCACCCCCACCCCCCTTCGCCCCGCTAGCTCAGCCACCCGGGCCGTGATGAGGGAAGCCGGGGCGTGGCGGTACGGCTCACCGTCTACCATAAAGGACGGCCAAGGCTGAGCCGTCAGGTGAGCGGGGGGGTCTCCCTTGATGCTCTCCACATTGCATGCGATTTCCACGGCCCCCTGGTGTGGCAGGGCCAACACCTGCACCCCGGGAACTCCCCCCGGCGCAGACTCCCTGATGGCGGCGGCGATGCTTCGGCCAAGCACCATGTCTTGGGTGTCGATGGTGATGTTGCAGTTCATGACGTAGGGGCTGGCTCCGACACCTGGGGGGTCAGATTTACGGGTCAGGGTTAGGTACGTCTGCTAAGGCTTTAATCTGCGCTCTACAACAGACCCATAAACAGGATGAACCAGTTTAAGGCAACTGCTCCCAGTTTCCGTCACCCACTGGTTAATAGTCGGTGGGCTGGTTGATCTCTGTTGGTTTATGTTACTTTTATTGACACCAAATAAGGAAGAACAGGATGATGTCATTGGTCAACATCACATTAGCTAATAACTCTACACCACTGGTATGGTATACTGGGAACCACTGAGGCCAGACGCCGTTTATCTGAGATATCCAGGATTTATCCGTCAGCAGAAACAAACTGGAGCGGCTCCGCTCTACCTCTGGTCGTGTTCTCATGGCGTCACCTGTAAGCCCGTATCGTTTCCGTGGCGGCGGCCCGACGTCGGGTCTGAGGGCCTCCCAGTCCGGCGTCTTCCTGAACCAGCCCATCTGCTTCCTCCTCAGCGCCAGGCCTCGCTGTAAGGGGCGGTCGGCCCAGCCGAACAGGAAGGCGCTGGCGCCGCTGACCGTCTCTGTGAGTCCGTGAGCCACAGCTATAAGGGGCGGGAAGAGCAGACGGTCTCTAACAGCCGGACAGGAAGCCGCCCGGGTTCTGAGACGTCCAACAGAACCTGGATCTGAAGCAGAACAGTGAAGGAAGACTCCGCTCACCCAGAGCCTTCTGGACGCACTCCTCCACTCCCACCGCCTCCCCCAGCGGGTAGATGGGGATCAGGTCCACGGCCCCCATGCAGGGGTGCACGCCCTCATGGGCGCTCATGTCTATGAGCGCGCACGCCCTCTGACACGCAGACAGGACGGCGTCCCCTGCAGACAGACGACCGTTAATCTGAAGCTGTGCAGCAGATCCTCATCAGGAGCCACTTACCGATGGAGCGCACAGACGCCACGATGGTGATGACGGAGCGGTTGTAGTCGTCATCGTTAAAGATGTTCAGGACCGTGGTTTCCTCCCGCTTGATGCCTGACGGAGAAAAAACACATAAACTCCAGAGCAGGACGGGTTCTGGTCTCTGGGTCAGAGGTCAGACCCGCTGGGCGGTCCGACTTTAGAACTGGACCGTTTCTGGACCCAAAGGTCTGTTTCTCACAAACACAGATTTAAGATTTTATGCTAATTAGACTCAGTTCAACTCATCTTTAGCTAGCTAAGTTAGCTTTGGCTAATCCAAAGGAAATTAAACCGTTTGCTCATACTTACATAGATATAAATCAGATAGTTTACATTAGTTAAGCAAAACTAATTTAAAGTATTTAGTGACTTTTGGCTTAAATTAGCTTAGCTGGGATTAGCTTCAACTAACTAACCTGAATTTAGCCTCAATTGGCCCAAAATAAATCAAGCTTGCTTAAACTTGGTTTAAATTGAACGCGTTAAAATTAACTTATTTTAGGACAATTTAAATTTGAATAAATAATTCAGGATAAATGAAGCATAAATTATTTCCGTTTCATTTAGCTTAAATAAATATAGCCTAAATGAGCTAACTTTAATTTATCTCATTAAAATTGATTAAAGAAACATTTTAATAAAACATTTTTCTTTATACCAGCTTAGTTAATTAATTAGCCTAATTATATGTTCCAGCCGCAGTAATAAAGTCCAGCAGCTGCAGCGCCCCCTAGAGTCGGACCTCCCACTGCAGCCAATTAAAAGCAGTGTCTGCATGAGGAAAGCACAGCTTTAAACAAAAGAGGCTCTAAGATCAAAGATCTCTGTATATTCACTCCATTACAGACCAGCCGCCATATTGCATCCATTAAAAAATAGATATTGAATGAATAGAGCGACACGCAGTCGGCATGTTGGCAGCCATCTTCCCTTTGAGAGCTGCTCTGACATCAGAGGAAAATGCAGCTCTATCAATAAAAGATGGATTCAGCTCATATCAGCTACGCTAAGCTAGTCTAAAATATTATGATTATATTCAACTTCAGCTAAATTTATTAAAGTAAATGAAGCTCATGAACACTATGAAATGTCCAATTATTAAACTAATAAAATAATAGTCTAAATAGTCTAAATTTGTCTCATTTAAGCTAAGTTCAACTGTAAGATGCTAAACTAAAATAACAATAATTACAAAAAGAGAATATAATTTAATATCATTTACTAATAATAAAATAGCTTTTTATCAAACAGTTAAACAGCGATTTAACAATCAGTTCCAGCAGCTCATCTGCAACCAGAGCTTCACCGGCTCAGAAATAATGTTTCTGTCTTTAAATTATTTAATTAAGTTAAACGACATCACATCAAAATGACTTTGATAAAATTAACATTCCCAACTGCTCGTCATCATCGATCTGCTCCGAGCAGTGCAGCCATTACACCGTTTCTCTGGAGTTTAGCAAAACTAGATGCTATAACATACTATAAAATACTATAAAATACTATAAAACACTATAAAATGCTGTAAAAATTTTATAAAATGTTGTAAAATGCTGTAAAAATGTTATAAAGTACTATAAAATACTATAAAACACTATAAAATGCTGTAAAATGTTAGAAAATGCTGTAAAATGTTATAAAATGTTATAAAATGCAGTAAAATGTTATACAATGCTTTGAAATGCTATAAAATGTTATAAAATGTTGTAAAATGTTATAAAATGCTGTAAAATGTTAAAAAAATGCTGTAAAAATGTTATAAAATGCTGTAAAATGTTAGAAAATGCTGTAAAATGTTATAAAATGTTATAAAATGCAGTAAAATGTTATACAATGCTTTGAAATGCTATAAAATGTTATAAAATGTTGTAAAATGTTATAAAATGCTGTAAAATGTTAAAAAAATGCTGTAAAAATGTTATAAAATGCTGTAAAATGTTATAAAATGTTATAAAATGCAGTAAAATGTTATACAATGCTTTGAAATGCTATAAAATGTTATAAAATGTTATAAAATGTTGTAAAATGTTATAAAATGCTGTAAAATGTTAAAAAAAAATGCTGTAAAAATGTTATAAAATGCTGTAAAATGTTAGAAAATGCTGTAAAATGTTATAAAATGCAGTAAAATGTTATACAATGCTTTGAAATGCTATAAAATGTTATAAAATGTTGTAAAATGTTATAAAATGCTGTAAAATGTTAAAAAAATGCTGTAAAAATGTTATAAAATGCTGTAAAATGTTAAAAAATGCTGTAAAGTGTTATAAAATGCAGTAAAATGTTATAAAATGCTGTAAAAATGTTATAAAATGTTGTAAAATGCTGTAAAAATGTTATAAAATGTTATAAAATGCTGTAAAATGTTATAAAATCCTATAAAATGTTGTAAAATGTTATAAAATGCTGTAAAATGTTAAAAAATGCAGTAAAATGTTATAAAATGCTGTAAAATGTTAAAAAAAATGCTGTAAAAATGTTATAAAATGCTGTAAAATGTTAGAAAATGCTGTAAAATGTTATAAAATGTTATAAAATGCAGTAAAATGTTATACAATGCTTTGAAATGCTATAAAATGTTATAAAATGTTGTAAAATTTTATAAAATGCTGTAAAATGTTAAAAAAAATGCTTTAAAAATGTTATAAAATGCTGTAAAATGTTAAAAAATGCTGTAAAGTGTTATAAAATGCAGTAAAATGTTATAAAATGCTGTAAAAATGTTATAAAATGTTGTAAAATGCTGTAAAAATGTTATAAAATGTTATAAAATGCTGTAAAATGTTATAAAATCCTATAAAATGTTGTAAAATGTTATAAAATGCTGTAAAATGTTAAAAAGTGCTGTAAAATGTTATAAAATGCTGTAAAAAAGTTTTAAAATGTTATAAAATGATATAAAATGTTATAAAATGCTATAAAATGTTGTAAAATGTTATAAAATGCTGTAAAAAAGTTTTAAAATGTTATAAAATGATATAAAATGTTATAAAATGCTGTAAAATGTTATAAAGTGCTGTAAAATATTATAAAATGTTATAAAATGCTGTAAAAATGCTATAAAATGTTAACATAAAACTCTAAACTCCTGCAGGGTTATTTGTTGATCCAAAGCAGGACAGACGAGCCGCTGGACGGCGGCTGGATCCCGTTTCAGGAACAGGAAGGATGTATTCTGTCTGAAAAGCCGTTAATAAACTTTGACGTTTAGACGTTTGAAATGTTTTTTATAATCATGGAGGCTGTTTTTCAGACATGGCGACGGACGGCGCTCTGGGCGTATTCTGGTGGCGTGAATGAGCTGTTGGTTGGAATGAAGGAGCTAACAGGCTAACACTGATCTGACCCTCAGCGCCGCGCAGCGCCGCCTTCGCCACGTCCTCCACCAGGTCCTTCCTGTGAGCCTCTGAGATGTTCAGAAGACAAGCAACCAGATGGCGACTTGGCGTCCTGGCGGCCATGTTCCTGAGAGGAGAAAATCACCATCAATCAACGACATCATCAGACAAACGGAAGCAGGATTCATTTTGACTTTTGGTTTCTATGGCAACGCTTGGTTCTATGAAGGATCAGGTTCAGGTTATGGTAGAAATCAGGAGGGGGGGTCCGATCTAAGGAGGTTCTGATGGAGACCAGCGGTTCTGGACCGTGGAGGGTCCTGGACCAGCTGAGTCCAGGAGAAGATCCAGAGTCGGACCTGGTGGTACCACAGGTCTCCTCCCAGTCAGAGAGACGGTGTCCAGGAGGGGGGACACCTGTCCAGCTTTGACCTGGAGGAGATCCTTGGGTCTCTGGACTGAAGGAGCGGTTCCACCAGAACCAGGAACCCAAACCCTGATCCTGAAATGATGGGATTATTTTCAGCAGGTCTTCATTACCTTCAGAACCAGAACCTCTAATCCAGACTGTGTCCTGTGGAGCCGGAGAGGAGCTGCTCCTCCAAACCGGTTTGAACAGAACCAGCAGTTAAAAAGCGGGTCCAAAGTCCAGCAGGGGGGGGGACTTCCTGTTTGGGTTGAACTGCCATCGCCCTCTACTGCCTCCTTCTGGAGGAACCAGGTTCTGCAGAAATTATCATATAATCAGAGAAGCTGGGCTGGTTCCTCCATCTGAAGCTGCAGGAGGAACCTTTGGCAGAACCAGAACCAGAACCAGAACCAGAACCGGGCTCTGCATGAGCGCCACCTACGGGGGGGTAAGCGCTAACCGCTGCCCCACCGCGCCGCTGACGCCCCAAATGATTCAAGCTGGGACTCAGACCGTCGTCCTGTGGTGCCCTGATGGAAACCTGACTGGGAACACTGGGAGCGCTCCGGTGTGCTGGGAACACTGGGAGCGCTCCGGTGTGCTGGGAACACTGGGAGCGCTCCGCTCCGGTGTGCTGGGAACACTGGGAGCGCTCCGCTCCGGTGTGCTGGGAACACTGGGAGCGCTCCGCTCCGGTGTGCTGGGAACACTGGGAGCGCTCCAGTGTGCTGGGAACACTGGGAGCTCTCTGGGAAAATCTCTGAGGGACCTGATTCCACTCAGATCAGGAACATTTAGAAGATTTCAAAGTTTAAAAAGTTTCATTTTTAGGTAAATAAACGATGACGAGGAATCAGCTGATGTTTCCAAAGCAGGACCATTCAGGAGAAAACCTCATGGTCCTAAAGCCTGCAGCTCTCCTCCCACATCCAGATCTGGAAACCCTGGAAGGTCCTGGAACTTTTTCCAGGCCTTTTTATGAGCAGAGAAACATGAAGAAATGATTGACAGCTGAGGATGGAGGAAGAATCGCAGCAGCGGTTAAATCCTCGCCTTCAGCAGGACAAACTGGATCAACCTTCTAAAGTGAAAATAAAGCTCCAGTAGAACCATCAGAGGGATGAACGTCATCCAGCTGAGCTCCAGTAGAACCATCAGAGGGATGAACGCCTCTTTATTCTAAATCCCCTAAAATTATATTTTTCTCATCATTGTTGTGTTTTTTTATAAAGTCTATTTATTTATACATTCATCCTCTTTGCTAAAAAGCCTAAAAACGTTTCCCACATTTATTAATATAATTTAAAATGTTTCAAATGCAGGAAAACTGATGATCTGAATGTTTTTACTTCCTGCATCATAACTGAATCTTTGCTGTTTGCAACGAAACAATTCAGGGAGTTATTATAGAGACCCATCCAAGATGGCGGCCACCAACCGTCAGCAGTTTATGGTCCAAACCGGCTCCTAAACCTCAGCACTGACCCTCAGTCTGCTAAAGCAGCGGGTCTGAACCTCCCGATGGGCAGGTTAGGGCACGGGGGGCCACAGGGGGCCACGGGGGGCCGCTCAGTCTGCACAGATCAGGGCCGCTGGAATTTGGCAGCGGGTGTAACGGCCAAATAGTCACGGAGGAAACACTGGCATTCTAATGTCCGTTCCGCTGGTTTTCGGCAACTTCGTCATACTGACGTCATCGGTCCGTGATCTTCTTTCAAACATTTTATTTAACTTAATGTTTGTCAAAGAAAGGAGAAATATTTGATGTCATGGAGGATTGTGGTTATGGAGGGAAATATTTATTCTCCTCTCATAACAAATAATGATCAAATGTCACCAAATCCACAGAGTTTGTTGTTGATGAAGAGAGAAATAAACACAGTTAAAAACTTGCAGGTAAATTAGTTTAATCCCATGTTAAGGAGGAGCAACAGATTATTTCAGGCAGCTGAATTCTCCATTCTCTCCTCTCTTATCTTTGGGAAATAAAGAGCAACTGTTGGAAAATTCTCAGAAATCATCATGTGACGTCATGTAGTATCAATTTTAGACTTAGACAGATTTATTTGTCATTTTGTTTACAGTGTAAAACAAAAGGAAATTTCCTTTAGAAAAAGCTCTGTGGATAATTTCACTTTTCTTAAAGTGCAGCTTTGAAAAATAGTAAAAATATATAAAAACAGTAAAAACACATGACAGTAAATTACAGTTCTAATAATTAATCTGTCATATTTTACATTAGGACAGGATTTACTTGGAAGTCTAAACTTTTCAGGAACTCTTAGTTTTTGTGTCCTGCTATCAGCGACTTTCCATCCTCTGATAAAAACTCTCTACATGTTGGAAAACTGGGACTGAATTTATTTCTGTCAGGTTTAAGGGACAGAATCTGGAATCAGACTCTTGGTGTTTAAAATAAAAACACAAAACAGCTTCAAATGACCTCATTTATTTTTTTATTTTACAGTTTAGTGAACAGCAGCTGCTGATTAAACTGGATGTTAAACAGTGAGATGTTTATAGGAGCTGATTTTAGCCAGAAATCGATCAGCGGTGCAGTAAAATGGTTCCATCCATCATGGCCGCCTCTCTGGCTTCAATGCGCCTCCAAACGCAGAGGGGACAGAATTCCATGGAACACCGGGACCAAGAAGGTCTGGAGGTCAGTCAGAGCTTCACATCCCTGGAACATCAGTCTGTTTAGCAACAGCCATTGCTGACAACTTCTTCCTCTCCACTGCTACAGGCTGCTTTGCTGCCACCATCTGGTGAATCCCAGTACTGCACATTTTACTCAGATCAGCTCAGCAGTGAGATCCGGGGCTCTGGGGGAAAACATCCGCCCCATGTTTGCTTTGTTTCCATGTTAATAAAAAAAAGCTTTGATGTGTTTGTTTAACTAAAGATGAGGAGCAGAAATGTGAGATAAAGCAAATTAATCAACAGTCAGTCAGTCAGTCAGTCTAATGGCTGCAGCTGCAGGAGGAAACAGACTCAGATCAAATGAACCAGAATGATTGAATCTCCTCATAAGGAGCTGATCTGGTTCAGTGGTTCTGCAGGATCAACCAGGGTTCATCTAAAGATGCTTCTAGAACTGATTGGTGACCTTTAGTTTAGATCTGCACATAGTTGGTTATTGTCAGTAGAGTTTTAAGTTGTTTGGCTGTTTTATGGTTGTGATTTCTGAGCATAGACTTCCAGTTCTAGATCTACATTTCTATCACTCAGTTTGGATCCGTGAAAGTTCCTCATTCTAGAAAAAAAGTAAAAGGAACTGAATGAGACAAGATCTGCATGATCAGAGAATGATGGAGGAGGAGATGACCGCCTGTTTATTTATCAGCTGGTTTTTACTGGCAGCTCCAAATATTTGGCGTTTAACCTTTTTAAGGCGTAATTAGGTGAGATAATAACAATAATAATGATTATAATAATATGTATGATAAGATTATACCGGTGTTAGTATAACATCTGTGAGCCCTCCTATCAGTCTGCTGTCTACTAACTTCACTGGATTCATAGCTAAACCTAAAGGAGGAGAAACATCTAGCGCCTCCTATGGGTCACAATCTATGGCGGCTCACAGATCACCTGAATCATCCCAGAATCTCATCCATAAACTTCCAACAGGCGCGTGAAACAAAGAATCTGATTTAATTATTAAATTGTAAGTTTTCATGTGATTCATACTAATGTGGAAGAGATTTAGATTATTTTATATCAGATTATTGTTAAACTGAAAGAGGAGGAGAGGAAGAGGATCAGAAGACTGATAGAAAGCCAGCGGTGTCTAAAGTTCCCATGTTTGTTACTTCAGTAGAAGTATAGATCCTGCAGTTTAAAAACATTCTGGTAAAAGTTGAAGTATCAACTTGACCTCTTTACTCCAGTAAAAGTGAAAAAGTATGCGCTCCAAAAACGACCTAGGCTACGTTCACACTGCAGGCCTTAATGCTCAATTCCGATTTTTTTGTGAAATCGGATTTTTTTGCATGTCCGTTCACACTTCCAAGTATATGCGACTTGTATGTGATCTACTGTGTGAACTGAAAGCGTTCAACCGAAGTGTCCCGCATGCGCACTCGAGGACGCGATGACGTCACATGTAGCAAGCGTCCTCAGTGTTTGCGGAAGTAAACATGACTCGTAATACCGCAGCGTATATTGCGTTCTTTAAGTTCTTCTCCAACAGGAGCAGGAACATTACGAACGAAATCTTTTTAAGAAGATCAAAAAGAAAGAGAGCCAGATTTCTTGCAATGGCGTTTTGTGGGGCAGTAATAGCAACGTCCGTACAGAGCTCTCACTGAGCTCTCTATTGACTGCTCTCTGTGTTATCTTCCGCCATGGTTGTTAGTTTTTCCCGCCTCCGCTTAGTAGGACGCAGATTAGTAACATTTGTCAAGTATCAATGACGTGTAGGTCGGATGAATGCGACCTGGCCGTACAGACACAGGTCGCATTTGAAAAGATCAGATACGTATCGGATTCAGGACCACATATCCAAGTGGCCTGGGTCGCATTTGAAAAAATCCGATCTGTGTCGTTCAGACTGTCATAAAAAGATCAGATACAGGTCACATATGGGCAAAAAAATCGGAATTGGGTCACTTCAGGCTGCAGTGTGAACGTAGCCTTAGAGTATAAAAGTATAAAGTAACCTTTAATAAAAACAGCCAGATGCCGCTATATGAATTAAAGCTAAATTTTTTCAACTATTTCTATAATCCTCTGAGATAGGGCCGAGGATGAGGGAGGTCTGGTTGGTCTCCGTCTCCCGATACGCTCTCGCCTGTGTCCGACCTTTCAGACGTTTCAGCATCTTTTTCTGAATCCCACATTGTAGCATGGCATAGACAATTCACGTTAGCAGTTTGAAGAACACCTGCTAGCTTCTGATGATTTCCTTTAGCTAACCAATGAGTGTTTGCCTTCTATGACTCATCCAATCACACTAGTTTTCACTAGATGTGGGCGGAGCCAATGATCTGCATTGGATGGAGCGCATGACGGGAAATAAAGATTTAGAAACATTAAACCGAAGCCAAGAGGAACGAGTAACATCTGATTTAAAAATGTAAGGAATAGAAAGAACAGATACTGGTGTGAAAATGTAATGAGTAGAAGAAGAAGTAGGAGGAAAAATAAATAATGGAGTAAAGTATAGCTACCTAGAAAGTGTACTTTAGTACAGTAACAAAGTATTTATACTTGGTTACTTGACACCTCTGTAGAAAGCAGATTGAATGAGAGAGGAGGAGAATAGGAACACTGATGGAACAGCCGGGGGGAGATTCATCGTTAGGCAATACTAGGCAGCTGCCTGGGGGCCCAAGTTCCTGGGGGCCCCAAGTTCCTGGGGGCCCCATAAAATTCTGTTTCCATGTATGGTTAATGCAACTATTCCTTATTTCTGCACATTAATTATGTTTTTGATAAAAATCCTTTGGCTAAAATGCCATCAGAACGCTGATAATATTCAGTGTGTCTCAGCCCCCCCCTCAGTGTCCACCATATTGGATCAGTCCATTTGCTGCACATGTTCAGAAAGGTCCAAACAGACAGCAGCAAACCATTTGAAAACAAACCATGCAAAGAGCAGTGTTGCCAACTTAGCGCTTTAGTCGCTATATTTAGCCACTTTTCAGACCCCTCTAGCACTTTGATTTCTAAAAAGCTCCTAGCGCCAAATCTAGAGACTTTTTTCTGCTGCTGGAGACTTTGGAGACAACATCTAAAAGCAGCGAACTCTGCTCTCCAGAGCGAGTAGATTGGTAACCCCGCCTCCTGCTCTCCTCTATCTTGTCTGCTGTCATGATTCATGCAGCTATTATTTCATCCAAATGAAAAATGGAGAACAGATAAGCAGATCATGGCTTGTCTACAGTGAAAAGAAGGACTGGGTTATTTACTTTGGCCTTTTTGGAAACACAGGAAGGAGCAATCAGCTAAGTGAGCTTAGTGCTTGGAAAAAATCTTTCATTCCTTTAGAGACAGCATGAAAAGTCAGCTGAGTACAAAACATAGAGAGGAAAACAAGAAGAAAAGGGACAAGAAGAGAGGGACACAACCTAGAACAGATAATGGATGTCTATTCTATTAACATTTCTCTATCTGGAGAATGGGGCTGTTCTATGTGTGGCCCCCTGCCTGTCTTTGCCTAGGGCCCCACATTTCCTAAACCCGCCCCTGGGAACAGTTAAAGAAAAGGAAGAAAAATCTTCTTAGAGTCAAACAGAGCAGTCAGCTAGAAAGAAAAGAAGATGGAGGGAAGAAGACTGAATGATAAACACTATTAAATGATTGATTTTATTCATCTGATAGATAATCAGTCATTTAACGCTTGATCATATTTTAATTAAAATGTTAATAAACATGTAGGAATAGATGGAAGCATCACTGGCCCTGTTTCCTGCTTTAATTTTAAAATGCGTTTATTTTTATCTAGGAGCTGAAATCCGTTTGCCCTGCAGGGAACCATCTTGTAGCAATGAATCTTTGATGGCAGAGGAAGGGTCACTTCCTGCTCCTGGATCTAAAGAAAAAGCTCCTCTTAGGGGCCACAAAGGGCCCCCAGCTCCACAAAGGGCCCCCAGCTGCCGCCATCTTTAAATGCTC